CCGAGGGCCCCTGGCACAAAGCGCAACGCGCGTCCTGGAGTTGGCACCCGCACTGGACAGCTCTCTCTTGGGTCCAGCAGGCCCCACACACATTAGCTCTGATCGAGCCCTTGTCAAACGGCGTAAACTTGGAACTGCTGAGGTCGCGGATCACAGAGTCGTAACGCAATCTGGCGCCGAGCCCGAGCTTCTCGGCCGAAATGCGGCACAGTTGTCGGACCACGCCCTCGCGCAACAAATTCTTGATCAGCTTGGGGGACGAGGTAGTGAGGGAGTAGGTCGCCCCAGGGTCGCTGCCCACCACCTGCGCGTAGTTGGGCATGGCCCACCCTACGCGGCAGAGAGAAAGGTACATGGCGCCGATCGGCCCACGAACTTGCCGACATGAAGACGGTGGCCTGGCCCATGTCTGCTGCCAGGCCTCCCTGAGTACTGCAAAACCTACAGCGAATGGAGTCTGCTGGGCCTGGGCGCCCCACAGCTCCCTGGAGCATCTGGCAATCGGCGAAATGACCGCATGATAAACAGGGCGCCCTTCTTGGATGCAAGGGGACGTGAGAGACCTGGATCTCGCAGACGGTTGACAGATTTCCCTAACCCAGCTCGAAGCAGACCCAATTCAAATCATACACACCATAAACTTCATAGCCGTAACTCACAGATGCCAGCGGACCTGCAACAAAAAACTTGCGGGTATGACGACCGAGGGCTTGACGAGCTTTACGAACACGCTTGCAGCGAATACGAAAATGTTGCATTCTGCTCTTGGCCTTCTTACCACGAGCTGCTGTGCGACGAGCCTGCCCAACGCCGTCGTCCACTCCGAGGTTGACCGAGGTCTCCGCGTCGGGTGAGGGGCCGCCGTGTTGCCCCGCGAACTGCTTGATGGCTTGACCAACATCCGCATGAGACGAAACAAACGCAGCCTTGTCCGTAGAAGCAGTGGCCTCCATGTCGGTCTCCAAAGCCATCAGGAGGTCCACCGAGGCCTTCTTGAGAGAGGAGACCGCAGGTTTGGACGTCCCAGAGCTCGAGAGCCCGCAATCGTCAATGTAGATGTCAAGGGAGACCTGCTGGGGGAACCTGATGGGGTCCACCGTGGGAATGACATAAGCCCGCGCATAGGTAGTAGCCATACTGGATCCAGCCACCACCCCGTGCGTAACAAAATGGGGCCCGTGCAAGAGGCCCCCAGAGGGAAACGAATCGGGCCCCTCGATCAGCTTTAATTGAAACCCTGGCAAGCTGCATCGGGAAATCCAAAGCCTGGCACCGATCGGGTAGCCTGGGAAGCCAAATCGTCTCGTAGAAATTATATATATATATATATATATATATATATATATATATCCCATAAGACCTTTCAACAACCATGCCCACGACCGACGACGCGCTCGTTCTTGGCCCCCTGGCGATACACGACATCCGAGGCGGAGTTGAACGACTCAGAAGCAAGGTGCAATCTCTGATGCCCGGCTTCCTTACGCTCTGCACGTGGCCGTCGGGCTCGCTCCCACAGCCTGTGCAAAGACGAGAAAAGCCCGATGTGGCGATGCCCGCCCGCTGGTTTCGGCAGCAGCGCGGTCAATGGCACCTGGGCAGGGTGCGGTAGGTGCCCAGCGGCTTCCATCATCATAGATCAAGCGCTGACTGCATCCAGCAGGTCGGTATGCATAAAAGAATAATGCCGCATGTGAAAGCCGTCGACGCCGGTGGCCGCGCCTACTGCACAAGTCTTGCTCACGGCCATCAAGTCGTCTGCGGACAGCGGCCCCCAGGGATCCATAAACACCAGGGACCCAGAATCGTCGACATGCGGATACGGCTTGGAACTTCAGAGGGCTCCTAACCGCTCTCCCTCCGATTGAAGAAGGGACGCAGGGTCCAACAAAACATGCCCGTCGGCGGACAGCGCGGTTGTCGCCGCCCAAGGTTTCAACCCCTGCGCCCAACGGTGGGCGTTCCCCCCCCCCCCCCCCTTTGTCGACTCCGCCCAGAAGCCAGCTACGCCACTCCTTCAGAGACCGCTGTGAGGAAGACTGTGCATACTCTGCCACCCTGGATCCTAAAACAGCTTGAATTCCACGAAAGCCTGACGCGTCATGGGAAACATCTTGAACAGCCTCTAGGAAAACACATCCCTGCTGAAAAAGATCTTGGGATTCACCAAGCCCGCCGAACACGCGCGGGGGGATCCAGGAAATGCTTCCGGGGGATGGAAAAAAACAAAAAAAAAAAAACAAAAAAAAAAAAAAAAAACGACCAAACGCCACCGCATCTCCAGAACCGACAGCACCCAAGATAAACCTCGATAATCTCGACAGCCAACGACCAGATACAAACCCAAGATCCCGAACAGGAGGTCGGGCGTCTTTGCCCAGAGCAAAAATCCAGGCCAACCGAGGCCTCCGTCCACGGGATCCCCAAATAACCAAATCGGTCTGACATGTTCTGGATAGCTCCCACTGGGCCGCATCGGCCCATACTCGATACAGCGCGTCTAGATGCCTCTGAACCTGGGACCTGGAAGCTCGACGTTCTATCGGCTCGCGCCCGGCACAGGCGCAATCCAAGACTGCGCCGTGGTCCTCCGAGCGCGGCGCTGGCCCGATGGGGCGCGCGGATGGCAGCTTTGGCGGACGGAGGAAAGTGAGGGCCTTGAGCACAGCCAACTGCGGGTCAAAGAGGATGCGCACGGGCGCGTGCGTCTTGATGTCGCTGCCTAGGGCTGCTGAAACCTCCTGGATGCAGCGACGGAAGCCCGATGATAACACAAAGTAGTCGAGAACCCTTAAGCCTCCAGTACTGGTACAAGTGCCCATGTCCGGATAGATAACGTCAGACTTGAGATATCCATGAACCCCAGAGGTAACCAATACATCAGGCGTCATATTAAAGTCGCCGCCGATCAGGTTCGGTCAGTGAGGTCCTCGCCATCGAAGAGGTAGGCCGACGAGACAAGGATCGGCAGAGCCCCTGGAACCTGAACAATTCCACCCATGGCCCTGGAAAGAACAACGATCTGACCGAACTCGGGATCGTGGGAATCCAGGAAAGAGCGAACCAAAATCGCGACACCTCCCGAAGTGCCTCCCGCCGACGTGCGGGTCGCTGGATTGAACCGAGCCTTCCACCCCCTCTTTAGCGCCCATTGTCCTGCCTTGGCGACGTCGTCGTTCGATACGAGGTGGTGTTCTTGCACGAGTACGATGTGGGAAGTCGTGGTTACCCCCAGAGACTCGAGGGAAGACCAACTCGTGAAAGTCCCCGCTTCGATCGACAGCTGAAACGTGCAACCAGGGCATGGGGGGCACTGACAAAAACTTGGATGGGTCCGAAGGCATGCCGCCCTCGGTGAGCAGCCTCCTAAAACAACTTCGTGGTTCTCTCCAGAGCCTCTCGAGCTGAGAAGACAGGGGCCTCATGGCTGGGCGAGCACTTCTCGCGCTGGCCCTCACAGGGTGAGACAGATGCCGCCGCTGACCAGGAGGACCCAGTCGACCCAGTTTGTGGAGTAGCGGCCCCACGGCCGCCCGAGAGAACGCGTTCATGATGATGCCCCCCGGTCGGCTACGCGCCGGCAGGTTGGGGGGGGGGATCTGACAGGGGCCCGATGAGCTTGTCATCGCTCGCGAGCAACTGTGCCGCCGACGAAGATCCCGACGTACCCCCTGAGGAGGACGCAGCCCCTCCAGTCGAAGAATCACCACCTCCGTCACCAGCATGATCCTGGGCCTCGCCCTTGGACTCCGCAGGAGCGTCAGGTGTCGCCGCCGCAGCTTCACCTGTAGTACAGACCTTACGCTTCTTGCCCATCCTCTGGATGTGCTTGGCGTGATCCTCCTTGAGCTTCTTCAAGTGCCGCTGGGCATCGCCGAAAAGCTGCCGCGCGGCCTTCTGCATCGCCTCCTTGGGCTGATAGGTCCTCTTCTCGAACTCCTCGGTGTCAGACTCCTGGACCTCGTACACGGAGCCGTGCTCCCCGAAAACTTCCTCGACACTGCCCATGTCAAGGAAATCGCTGGACTCGTCAAGAAGGTCCTGTAGGGCGAGGCGGGACTTCTGGCGTGGCTGGAGCTGGACATACTTGAGCCCGAAGCTGGTCGACCAGCCCCTGGTACTTCTGCATCTCCCCCGCCAGCTCACGCCGCACCTCCCCGATGGACTCCTTCTTGTCGGCGGGCCAGTTTGACCACTTTGCATACTGATCCAAATCGTGCTGGAGCTTCTTCTCCGGCTGCTTGATGCGGCGGTCCGCCTGGTTGGCCTGGGCCTGCAAGGGAACAGGAGGGTCACCAGCACGCCGCTTCTCGAGACGGAGCTGAAGGGCCGCTGCCGACGCCTCATTGCCCATCTTCCGATGGAGGCTGATGAGCTGCACCACTTCGTCATCCGAAGGCTTGTTCTGATCCCCAGCCCCAGGCGCAGGGGCCGAGCCGCCGTGGAGACCGACAGGAAGCCCTCCCTGAGGCGGCTTCTCCTGGCAAGGCATGTGCTGCCAGTCACCTGCCCAGACTCCTCTGGGCTGGGGCGGACTGGCGGCTTCGACCTCTTTCCTATTACCATGGCACTGCTTGCAGAACCAAAAGTACCCCATGTTCTGGCCGCAGCCGCAATGCCCGCACTTCCAGTAGCCGGCGGCGCCACCGTCGCGCCAGGGCGGAAAGCCAGCAGCCCAGCCAACGCGACGAGCGAGAGGAGCCATGGCAGGCGCCGAGGGCTGGGGGTGATCGCGATTGCCTCTGATTTTGTCGCCTCCCGCGGGGAGATGAAACCTCAAGCGCCACGGGAAGGCACAGAGGCAGGCCCAGAAACTTGGGCCCCAGTTGCTTGAGAGGAGGAGATGGAGGAGGAGGAGGAGGAGGAGGAGGAGGAGGAGGAGGAGGAGGAGGAGGAGGAGGAGGAGGAGGAGGAGGAGGAGGAGGAGGACGGGTCGCCTAAGCCCTTCGGAGAAACCCTCCAACTCACCCTCCGGGGCCAGGAGCAGCAGCATCCGGGGCCTGCTCCGCCTGGCCCGCGGCCTCGCAGGCGGCGACGGCGGCCTCGTAGCTCCTCGCGGCGCGCGGCCCCGGGGGCGGGCCCCCGCGGGGGCGAGCGGCACTCGGCCCCGCGCGGGGGCCGAGCTCGAGGCGCGACGGAGCCATCGGTCGGGCCTCCTCCTCTTCCTCCTCCTCCTCCGCCTCCTCCTCCTCGTCCTCGTCCTCCTGCTCCTGCCGGGCAGGGGGTTGGGGGGGAGCCGGGCTGGGCGCAGGGTTGGGCGTCGGGCCGGGCGTCGAGCAGGGCGTCGGGCAGGGCGTCGGGCTGGGAGTCGGGCTGGGAGCCAAGCTGTTCGTCGTCGGGCATGCTACGCTTTCCGACACCGAGAGGGCTCAGAGTGACCCGATGCGGCCACCGGCGTTTACAAGAAAAGCCCGATGCTTCCGCCTCCATGCATGGAAATTCGCCAGAGTCTGTTAGGCAACTCCCTCGAAGCGGCGGTGCGGTGTGGTGGCAGACCGTGCGGTGACCTCGAAACACAGAAAGGCCTCACCGCATGGCCCGTCGGCAGCATGGTTTCGGCACCCTGGAGGCCCCCGTCGCCCGAGACGTCCTTGGAAAGCGACCCAAGGCCCAGAACCGCAAGGCCAGCCCGAATCACCACGGACTCACCGCACGTTGCGGTCGCCGCACCTTCTGGGGGCCCTCGACCTGTGCCTGCCCTGCCCGAGACGTCCAGGAAAAGACGCAGGGAGAGTGGTGCACGCACTCCGCCAAGGGATCCTTTCCTTGTCTGGGCCCACGAGTTCCAGACCCCTGCCCGTGGGGGCAACTTCTCGTCTCGGATCCATGTTTGATGGCCCCGATGCTCGAAAACTGAAGGAACAAGCGCCAAGATCGAGTAAACCCACCCACGACGTCGAAGCTCTGGGATCTGGGCCTCAAAACTGCTCCCAGGGCCAGCAGATCTTGGGGAGCGCTGCCTAGAACCTCGAGGCGAGTCCAGGCGTGGCCGCGAGGAGGCACAGAAGCAGCACAAAGGCCCCCCCACCACCACCACCACACACAAACACACAAACAAACAAACAAACAAACAAACAAACAAACAAACAAACGAACGAACAAACAAACAAACAAACAAACAAACAAAAAAACGTAGAGCATCGATGCTCGAACGATGTCGGAGGTCTGGGTGCACATGCACGTGTTCCCCCGGGGCCATAGGTGACCCGAGGAGGAGGAGGAGGAGGAGGAGGAGGAGGAGGAGGAGGAGGAGGAGGGCGGAGGAGGAGGAGGAGGGCGAGGAGGCGGAGGAGGAGGAGGAGAAAGAGGAGGAAGAGGAGGAGGAGGAGGAGGAGGAGGAGGAGGAGGAGGAGGAGGAGGAGGAGGAGGAGGACGGGTCGCCTGAGCCCTTCGGAGAAACCCTCCAGGTGCACAGGCGTAACCAGACATCCCACGCGGTCATTGTTGTCGGTGCGCGGCCCGAGATGTCCGGACCCCGTCCCCAGGAGGCTCGTCCCAGAATGAGTCTTGATTGTCCTGGAGGCGACCTACATTGAGGAACCCCGCTCACACTCCACAACCCCGCTCAGGTCGAAACAATCCTACTGTCAGGAACGTTTGCTTCGCCTGTTGCGGCGGAGGCCCCTGCGACACGACATGCCGCGCGAGCTGATACCGTGTCGCTCCTCTCCGAGGGGCGGGAGGCTGGCAACAGCTCTGGCGCTGAGGATTGGGAGCGGGGACGTGGATAGCGCGTCGCGCCGAAACGTGCCAGCCAGAAACAGGGGAAAAACACGCCCAGTAAACATTCCAGGGGAAACCAGCAGGGCCATTACCGATGCCGCTACTCCTGGGACCTCGACAAGAGCGAGCTGCGACCAGGATTTCCAGGCGACTCCAGCCGTGGCGACGAGGGCCTCCCAAGGGGCCTAAGGAGGCGAAAACAAGGGAGGGGCCGCGGTATCCGTACCTTTCCTGACGCCAAACAACTGCATAAACATGAACGCTCGACGGTCCTCGCGCACTTTTTAGAACTGCGCAGGCCCCCCCTCCCTGGCGCGCGGAGCGCGCCAGGGGCGGCGCCAGAGGGGCCCAGCGCGGATCCGGGTTTTGGTTACGCATCTGGTTGAGAATCGAAAGTTTATGGTTCTGCATCGGGGTACCCTGCGGGGCATCCTCTGGGCATCCTCCTCTGGGTATCCTCCTCTGGGTATCCTCCTCTGGGTATCCTCCTCTGGGTAACCTCTGGGTATCCTGCGAGGGGGGTCCCCTGGGTACCCTGCGGGGCACCCTCTTTGTGCAGGGTCCGACCGTCCAGGCATTCCTATAGGCCTACCACGAAATTTTCATAGAGCCCAATAATGTTCTGAGAACAAAAACAAAGTTCTTAGAACAGCAACCCGATGCGTTAGAACAAGACAGTCCCAGCCAGATATGTTCAAATAGCATTTCGTGCAGACCACAGAGGGTTCTTAGTTCTTAGGGCATTCTTCGGTAGGCCTATGGGCACGCTGGGACGCTTCGCCACTGCTTGACCTCTGGCCCTCCTGCTCCGATGTTCCTCCTCTAGGTATCCTGCGGGGGGGCGCGCCCGCGAGGCCGCGCGGAGCCGCGCGGAACCGATGGCGCACAGGCACGGAGGCTCGGCGGGGTGCACGGGGCTGCTGCGCGGATGGGCACTGGGCGCCACCGCGCGGGCGAACGCGGCTGCTGCGCGGAGGTCCGCTCGGGCTCTCCGCTCGGGCCCCCCGGAGCCCCGCCCCGCTCTCCTGCTCCTTCTTGCGAGCGTTTTCTTATTCTCGGGGCCCACAAGAAAGGGGGGGGGGGACCCTGAGAGGGGGGAAGGGGGAATCCGATCCGCTGGCGCATCGAATTTCCGAAACACGATGTCCCCCGCCCGCCCCGAATGTCGGCGCCTCTCGGGTTCCGGCGGCGGCTGGAGACCTCGTTTTGCATAGTTTTTCTGCGGTTCGATGCGCCAACGGACCGAACTCACCCCTCCCCTGTGCCCCCCCCTTTGCGAGGCCCCGATATTCGGCGTTTCGACTTTGGGCGGAAGGGGGGTTGGGAGGGGGGGGGTCTGGCTCCGGACCAATGCTGAGTGCGACTGTTTGTAAGAGTGCGGCCTCTGGGGGAGACATCACCCACTCGAAACAGGCGCCAAAGAACGGCCAAGATCTACTTCAGGGGGGGGGAGTGGCCCGCGCCGATCGGCAGAACAAAGAATAATTACTCCAACGGATGGACCCCACATGAAAACCTAATTTTGTATGGAATTCGCCGGCCCAACGGGCCAGGGCGTGCTAAGATCTCCGGTAACTGGTTAACAGTATTAACAGTATTTCTAGTTCGCGCGCGCGGGGCGGCCCCTGGGGGTCCCCCGGCGAAAAGTACCCCGACCAACGCCCGACCGCCGCCCGACCGCCGCCCGACCGCCGCCCGACCACCGCCCGACCAAGTCTACTCAGAGATGGTTTTCCTTCTGGGTGCGGCCTCTCAGGCTCCCCAGAGCGCGCTCAGAGTGCCCCAAGAGGCCCCCAAGACTGCCCAAGAGGCCCCCGAGACGCCCAAAGAGCGCTCGAAGACGCCGAAGATGACCCCAAGACGGCCCAAAAGGCCCCCAAGACAGCCCAAGAGGCCTCCAAGACGCCCCAAGAGCCTTCCAAGAGGCCTCCGAAGAGAGCCCCAAGAGGCCAAAATCGTTGATTTTCATTGTTTTTTTTCGATGTTTTTTGTGTTCTGGCTTTTTCGGCTTCCGGACGCTCCAAGACGGCCCAAGAGGCCCCCAAGACCGCTCCAAGACGGCCCACGACGACGAAGACGGCCCCGGAACGGCCCAGGAGGGCCCCCAAGACGGCCCAAGTGCCGCCCAAGACGGACCAAGAGGCCCCAAGACGGGCCCAAGAGGGGCTCAAGAGGGGAACCGAGAACTGAAAAATCGAGCCCTCCGCCCCAGAAGGCGCCCAGGAGGCCCCAAAAAGGCCCCAAGAGGCCCCCAAGAGGCCCCCAAGACGCCCCAAGAGGCGCCCAAGAGGCCCAAAAGAGGCCCCAAGAGGCCCCAAAACGGCCCCCAAAACTCGGCTAGCCCACAACGGTGCGACAATATGGGCCGGCGGAATGAGCGAAGCGATTAAATATGTACACTATCAGAATGATGCTGCTCCTGCTGACGCTGCTGCTGCTCC